AAGGTTGCTTTTAGTTGGTCAAGAAATGTGTCTAATTTGAAAAGAACACTATATGAAGAATGGGTTAAAAGTGATTAGTTAGGATGGAGTCTAGAAAAGGAACTAAAGAGCAGAGAATGTTTATGAATTTGTTCATTCATTCAACCAATATTTCCTAATTACTATGTGCCAGGCACTGTTGTGCATACAGATGTACATTGCCACTGCCTAACGAGGATATTCAAACAAAGGCAAACATCAAGTTATAATTTAATCTATGAAAGAAATTCATACTGATTTAGTGGTAAATGGGAAGATTTTGTTAGAGAGAGAGAAGGAGGGAGAGGAAGAGGAAGAGGAGGAGGAGGGGGAGGAGGAAAAGAAGAAGAAGGAGAAGGAGAAGGAGAAAAGAAAGAAAAAAGAGGAGAGATATTTATAATGCTGGAAAGATCTAGACACAGGAAACCCAAGAGGAAGAGCAGAGAATATATGAAATAAAAAAAACAGCTCATGTGACTGATACATAGTGAGAAAAAAGGGAGTAGTAAACAATGAGGCTGAGGAGACTGTCAATGGAAAATCAAAATTTTCTCAGCCCAACCTATCCAACATATGTTATTACTTAGTTCCTTTTCCCCCCAACCTATCCAACATATGTTATTACTTAGTTTGTTGATGATAACCATTCTAACAGGTGTGAGGTGGTATCTCCTTGTAGTTTTGATTTGTATTTCCCTAATAGCTTGTGAAGTTGAGCATCTTTCCTTTCATTGATGATTGGATAAAGAAGAGGTACATATATACAATAGAATACTACCCGGCCATAGAAAAGATAAAATACTGCCATTTGTGACAATATGAATGGAATTTGAGAATATCATGCTAAGCAAAATAAGTCAGAAAGAAAAAGTTAAGGACCATATGATTTCACTCCTGTGTGGGGTATAAAACTGAAAGCAACAAATGAATAAATGACAAATTAATAAACAAAAACTCATAGACTCAGACAAAAGTATGGTGGTTTCCAGAGGAAAGGGGGTGGGGGTAGTAAAGAATAAAGAGGGTCAAATATATAGCAACCAAAGATGATTTCACTTTGGGTGGTGGGCATGCAAGCAATATACAGATCATTTATCATAAAAATTTACATTTGAAACCTATGTAATCTTATTAGTCAATGTCACCCCAACAAATTTGATTTAAAAAAAGTGGTGTCATCTGATTTATTGAAAACAAACACACAAAACCATTAATATTCACAAGGGAAAATTAATCAAGGGCAATGGAAAAGCAAGCAGGAGAAACAACAGGAGGTTGTTGCTGAGATCTATGTGAGAAATTTTGTAGCCTGAACAAGGAAGTAGAGATAAATTACTGGATATTTCTACCACTATTCCCAAAAGATGGTCACCTGACAGCTAAATATCATTATTATTGTAATCCATTCAGTAGGTAGAGCACTATACAAAATATAAATTCACTAGCCTCACATACTTGATGATAATATCACTGACATAGAATTAATTCTTCTCCATCTGATTTATATTGAACAAGTGAGTTTTTGATTGTTTCCTAAATTAAAACTTTCAACCTTCCAGAGTGTTAATTCAAACATGTTAATATTCTAATTATTCCAAAGTGACATTACTTTTGGTAAATATTCAAACTGGCATTTTGATTTATACATAAGCTTTTGATGAGATGGCTAGAATGATCCAATGTTACTGAGCCTGATCAATGCTCAGTATACTATTACTAACATGATACTGCACTGACTTCAGACAAGTAAATAAGTCCTCTATAAATAGCAAATCAATTTAGCAATATGTACAAAATATTGTATGTTTAAGATCATTGGTAGTAACAACTGAGCATATAAACAAACTTTATCATTAGATTGAAATTGATTTACTTTTCTATAGTTAATATGTATTTTTTTTTATTGATTTTAGAGAGCGAGAAGAAGGGAAGGAGGGAGGCAGGGAGAGAGAGAGAGAGATTTCTTGTTCTACTTACTTATGCAGGCATTGGTTGATTCTTGTATGTGCCCTGACCAGGACAGAACCTGCAACTTGGCATATCAGGACAATGCTCTAACCAACTGAGCCACGTGGCCAGTGAATATGCATATGTTTTTGATACAATAGTAGAAACATACCAATAAAGATAACTCTATTGTAGTGGACATAATACTACACAATAATCCAGAAGCAGGAAATTCAAATTTGATACCTTTAACTTGTTGAATACAAGGGGTTGTAGCTATCACTTAGCCACATTATGCTACAATTGCTTCTTCTGTAATAGGAGAGCTTTACATATGATGAAAATTAACATCCCAAACAGCTCTGAAGTCCCACATCTTGGAAAATGTAAAATATCCACTAGTGCAAGAAAGAAATAACAAAGGATACAAGGAGAAGAACAGAGATTTAGTCATATAAGAATCTAGCTTAATTTGACACGAATGAGCTAGTCAGTTAGTGATTACCCATAGAATAGTCTTTTTTCCAAAAACACATTAATTTACCTACTAATCCAATCAGGACTATTATTCTTGGAAGAGTAAAATTTACAAGAATAGAGACCACAAATTTGTAGATGCGTGAATTCACTTGACTCTATATGCTAGGTTCTATGCTAAATAATGGCCATCATCCTCATTGTAGTGAAGTCAAACAAATAAATGAGGAGGATGGTAGCTTGTCACAAGTAATTTGAAAAAATAATCATAGTGCTATGAAAAATGGGTAACATAGGGATTCTAGTCATCTTCTAAGAAACTGATCGACTGATATATCTTAATTCGATAAAGTATAATATTCCTGTTTTCATATTAATGAGAAGAAATAGCTAAAATCATCCTTCCTGTTAAGCTATTATGTAACATAACTATCCAGATTAATGTAAACACAGAACTTTAAATATTATCCATAAATTTGCTTACTTAAGTAAGCATTCATTGATTGATTGTTTCCTTTGGGCCAGAGGATGAATCTCAAAGGTCACTTAGTTCAATTCCCTCAATAAGTATATATTTTAAAGATATATTAAATAAAAAATATTTTTATAAAGTAGATTACTTTTCCAAAAACATCCAGTTAATTGTGAAACAAGGCATGTAATCCAGGCCTTCTTGAAATAAAGTATGTGTTGTTTTTTGATTATTTGTGGTTTTTAAAACAATACTATTCAAAGAATGACCAACTAAAAAGCATTTGTACTTCATGAGTTTTCAAAGAATTCACTGCAATACTGAGTTAAAATTGTATGAACTTTCTCATGATGCAAATATTCATGGGCAGAATCAATGATATATTTTATGGGCTTCTGGAAGTTTGTGATTTAAATAAAAAATATGTAAAAAGAGTAATAGTGTAGTAATAAATATATAGAAATATATACTTTTTTTTTTTTCACTGAATGTAAATAAGCTTGTCTGCTAAGGAGTAAAGAGAAGAGAGTTTTGTTTCCACAGTCCTCATTTAAGAGGGTTGGAAGGTAATGACTTCTACTCTTCTAGTTAAATAGAGATTTACAGGATAATTAATATGTTAATTGCTGTTGAAATTTAATTAAAAAGAAAATGTTTGTGAGAAAGAGTAAGAAGCATTCTTGGCATATAGTTTAGTCATGGAAAAAGTTATGAGTTTAAAGTAGGGCTTTCAAAATAAATATTTGCAGGAGTTTTGGGAAAAAGTTAAGATTCAAGGAGTGAATATTTTGACCCTTGATGATAGCAATTAAAGCTACTGTAAAGATAGAATAGGTTTTAATTTCTTGAAATTCCATTATTTTGAGATATGTAAATAGCACACACACACATAATTTTCTTTTCCAGTCTTCCAATCCACATCCTCAAGTAAATTGTCACTGGGGTGGGGGGATGAAGAGAAAGAGCAAGTAGAGAGATGGATGACGGAAGAAAAGATGTATCAAATAAACCAGTTGTCTTTATTTGAACTTATTGTTAAGTTATGGAAAACGTGTAGGAGGAAACGGTGGGTAGCTTGTGCCTCTCAGTAGCCATTTCTTTAGATTTTCCACCTTCATCTTTTTAGAACCCTTATTATGATGGACGGAAACTCAACTCACTCCAGTCAACAATTCTTCCAGGCCAGAAGCTGGCCAGGGTTATGACAGGATTCTAGATGCAGCTGGTTCTCCTGTCCGCTGCTGTCCATGCACCCCATTCTCTGCTCTTCCCTAGTCCTTTCCATGGGCTTAATGCTTTCTGTTACATTTCCGTGTAAGGTCACAGACAAGGGGGTCACATCCGAAAAGACCTTTCGTTACTAAATTTACTTTTTCCCAGACGCGAACATTGGAGGTTTCCTCCAAATCGATTCTGCTACCTAATCCACAAAAGTCTCTGACTCTCCCAGCCTTAGCCCTGAAGTTTCCTTCCTCCAACCCACTCCAGTAGCCCTTTGGGCTCTGCATCAGGTACTCGCTGCTTTTTAAGAGGGTTGAAATGCTAAGCACCGCCTATCGTCAGGAGCGGCTTGTCACTCTGTCCCGCTGTGCAGTTGTGATTTGCGGGCAAGACCGCGTCGTCTGGCCCCGCCCCGCTTCCCTTTGCCGCGCTGTCTCGGGTTTTACCCAAAGGTGGAGAGGGGGATTCCAGCGGCGGCGCTTGGAGCAGGTGAAGAAGCATCTTCGTTCTGGCTGTTGCTGCTGTTCTTTCTCCAAACGTGGGTCTGAGACAGGAAAGGACAGCATTCTTCCTTTGCCGCTAGAACTCCAGTGAACTGTTGCCCAGAACCTAGGCACTTCATACATTTCATCTCATCCATTATTCCGCTTTCACTGTGTAAATCACCTGCACATTTGTAACCCTGTTAATGTCCCTCTGCTCAATGCTCAGAAGGGGTCGAAAGGGAATTTCAAGGGTTTGAAAGGCTGCCAGGGCCTCCGCCGACCGCGGGGAGCTGTCTGTGGTGCTGAAGCTTTCTGGGCGTTTGCCTCTCCACCACCACACCGAGTTAGCACATTCTCATTCCTGGCTTTCTCGTTGCCCCATGCCTTGGATAAGACCAATTTCAGGATCGTGAATATCTCTCCGTATCATGGCCCACGTGAGACACTTTCGGACATTAGTTTCGGGATTTTATTTCTGGGAAGCAGCACTGCTACTCAGGTGAGTCCACTTGTATTTAACAGTTGGAGAACTTATTAAAGCTTTCGTGCTAGGATGCAACCACTTGTTATTGAGGAGACCACGAATGCAATTAGTAGTTGCCTTGTTGAGAGCACTCCTTAAATTGTATTGTTTCATGTCTAAAGCATGTAGCAGTCTATCTATTGAGACCTCTAAAAACATGTATCTTTGCGCTATTTTCAGAAATTAATGCATTTTAGTAACTGGCATTTTATATTAATAACAGCTGAAATTATCCTAGAAAAGTTCTTTCCAAAGCCAAGTTTTCTTTCTTGAATTGCTATTTGAGCTTCCTTTTTCTAAGTAAATTATAAGTTCTGGATGTTACTCTCTTTTGGGGGGAATTAAAAGCATTTAGCAATTAGAAATGGAACATTACTAACTTTTTAAACCTATACTAATCAGAAATATTCTGAGCATTGTTGATATATCCAGAGGTTAAGTTAAATGAATAAAAATAAAGACCTTGAAGTGCTATTTTCTAATGAACTTAGCTCAGGTATCATAAATAAATCATTAGATATGTTGTATGTCAAGAATAATCTTTTTTGAGAATGTAGTATAATAAACCCATAGAATAATAATATTGTTCTGTGGCATGTCTTTTTCCTATCATGTCCAGTTATATTTGGTAGGCCTTATTTTTCCTTATAATTAATTTAAAGAGGAAAAGAGAGATTAGAAAAAAAAATTAGATAATTTAACCTCTGTTTTTAATTAAACAATGTATAAGCAAGATACTGCTCATATAGATTTTTGAACTATCAATATAAATTTTATTTTGCTATTATAATTATCATATTATAATTTCCATTTTATGGCTCAGAAGCTTTCAAGAGGATGAAATAAAATAACTAGAGTAAGTTATCTTTATACTGATTTCTATTTAAAGTATGTATTCTTTTCTGGGTTGCTAGGTCAAATTTTTTATCTTTGAGCACCTTAGAAAAGCATAGTGTATTTCATAAAAACTACCTTACAGAAAGTTACATTATTTTGAAAAGCCTGTAATAACAGGAACTAGTTATGAAGGTTATTATATTTCTGAAAATGTTGACTTTTTATTAATGGGCTGAACCATTGTAAACCAGAATATTTTCAGTGAAAATATCCTAATAAGACAGTACATTTAAAAAATTATATTTTTATTGATTTTTTAGAGAGAGAGAGAAAGGGAGATAGAGACAGAAATATCAATGTGAGAAAGAAACATTCATAGGCTGTCTCTTCCACACCCCCCACTGGGAATTGAGCCTGCAACACAGGCATGTGCCCTGACCAGGAATCTAACTGGAACCTCTCAGTCCATGGGACCACACTCAGTCCACTGAGCCACAGTGGCCAGGCAAGACAGTACATTTTTTAACTTTACAATTTTCATCAATTTTATATGTAGTGATCAAAGCAAAGAGTGTAAAGCTTTTTTACATTTATGGAAACTTCATGGAAAGGAGTTTATGTTATAAGAGACACTGGTCATTTTACTGTAATTACTTGTTAGTATTTTAGATAATAATAAGCATATTTATTTTTTCAAAAAATCATAAAATCTTAGTTAATAGATATTCAGATTTAGGAAGCTTGATGTTGCTAACTAAAATGTTTTGGTCAATATGGCCAAATCTATATCATTACAATTCACCATATTTGTTATAATATATTCTTAGATATGTAATCTTCATCACTAGAGCCTCTGATTTTTGTCTAGTTTTATTGAAATTCACAAAAATTGTATTTCAAACTCACAATCATGATTATAAGAATTTACTTTCATTAATATTAAATACTTTTTTAAAAATGTTTTTATGAATAATCCAAAAATATAATCCCTTGAAAAAGACATACCCAATATAGAAGTTTATATGATACATGTAGTTTTCATCAAGTTTTCTTCTTCTTTCATAAATTGAATAAAATTTTTCTCTATCTTAGACTAGTCTTAGATGAGAAATAGCTCATCACTCTGTGAAGAGCTTTAATCACATTCAAAAAAATAAATATCTTTATTTTCAGTGATGATCCTTGAAAGAAAATTTTCTATAGTAAAGAAAATGAAATTCCCTCAACTGGAAATCTTTTATAAAATAAATATCTTTATGGAAACTATATTTTGTTAACTAAGTCTATTTGTGATGTATTGAGCAAAAAGGACACATGTAAAGAAAAAAAAGGAAAAAATATTTAATAAAAATTTATAAATATATATTTTCAATTTAAAAATAGTCTTTCTGGGGTGATTTGGAGGCAAAAAAAAAACATATAGAAACCATCAATATTTATAATTAAATAATTTATGAGTACAAGCTTTTTTCATAGGTTTTTAAATATTTTTAAAATTTTTATTGAGATACAACATACATACAGAAAAGTGTACAAATGACAAGTTCCATATAAAGTTTCGCAAAGATAACACACTCATGTAATGAGACCATGACCAAGAAGTAGCACTGTCAACATCACAGAAACCCTCACTCTGCCCTCTTCTATCACCATATCCTTTCCCAGGCACTTCTTTGCCCAAAGATAATCACAATCCTGACTTATGCAACAATAAATATGTTTTTCCTGCTTTTGAACTTTATATAAATACTCATTTGAGTCTGCTTTATTTTTATGAGCATTATGTTTATGTGTTTATCCATATTGTTGCATGTAGCAATTGTTTCTTCTCATTGTTATATGGTCTTCCACTATAGGAAGACATCACAATTTATCTATTGTTGTATTATGAATGTTTGAGTATTTTTTAGGTTTTGGCTAGTGCTGCGATGATGTCTTTTGTGAATACATTCATTTTGGGGATTGTATGGGTTGGGTCCAATTCTTTCTCTTGAACAAGAATGGTTGGATCAAGGGGTGATTTAGTAGATACTGCATAGGTTTAACTGCAAGTTTTCCAAAGTAGTTGTACCTATATATACTCCTGCAAGAAATGTTTGAGAGTTTCTGTTGCTATTACTACTATAAAATTTGATCAGTGCAATATTATTATAAAAATTTCTAACATTTTCTTAGACTATTATTGCAAGCCCACAGATGATATCTTAGTTATCTTAATTAACTAGAATATCTTGATATTCTAGTTATCTTAATTTAGCATAATTTCTACTTTTCAGTAAATTATATTAAGCTAAAAACATCAAAACAAAAATATTTACTACAATAATATGATTAGAAGTATTAATTACCAGAATAACTCTGGTATAAGAAATACAATTATAAAAGAGGATTATTTAAAAATAAACAGTTCTTTTAAGAAAAAATAAGTGAGAAAATTTTATAAACGGACATAAGAAATCTGAATTTCTTATTAGGGAAATTTTTAAAAGTTTCACACTTTGCTCAGATATTGCTCCTTTTTTGACGCAATTCTTCTATGGCTTTTGGGTTCTAGTTCTCATATTAATAAAATAAAGAACAAAACACCAGTGTTCAGCTTTCTTTGAAATGTAGATAAGTGATGATTATGAAGAGTTTGAAGAAAAAATTCCAAAAGTAGGGGAACTGCCAACATTTTTTTGTTTAAATTAACTATTTTCATCACATACAATTTTGATTTTCATTTTTACAGTTTGATACCAACACATCCTTGCTATATGAATAAATTATGTTACATTATGTTAAGAGCCAAATGTGTGAATTTCAGACTTCATGACAATCACAAATAAAATATTTTATTGGTTTATTGCAAAGTCTAAGAAAAACATTTTAGCATAGAATTTCTTGTTTTTGATTTTGCTATGTTTTACAGGATAGAGAGAACCACCTTTAATGTTGGCTCTATTTTCTTATGTAAGATAGCAAAGAAAAATATACTTTAAGGAATAAACTTTTCTTACTATGATTTCTTATATTCAGGTGCAGTAGCAGTATTCTATATAGTTTTTAAAATATCATGCTACATATGATATATGCTTCTTTCCTTTGTGTCTCTAAATAGTGATACATTTTCCCAAGTATAGAAGGACCATGACCCAGTTTTCTAGTCAATGCCTCAAGCAGTTTTCCCTACAGATTCAGAAAACAGCTTATAAACTATTCCTCTTCTATATATCTTTTTTCTCTGTTGATCACACAAATATGTACTGAGGGAACTCAATCAACAAATGTGTGCTTCATATGTAATGTTAAGCAATTCAACAAGATTTCTTTACCAGAATCACTACACAAATATCTGTGCTGGGTGCAATTTGGCTAGGAATAATTGGGAAATTACCATCTTTCCCAACATGAAACTTAGAATCGAGCAAGGAAGAAAACACAAAGAGCCAAGTGAAAAAAGCTAAACACAACAATGTTGGGGGAGTGTGAGATGGGGAAGCTATTCAGAGGGATTGATACTTGTCCTAGATCTTCTAAGATACTTGTTCCATGGACAGATATAAAATATCAAGAAAGTATTTTATGCACAGAAATGATAGGCCTATAATATGCTTAGGGAATGGTGATGGTCAAATTCAGTTGGAATTCCAATTTATGGTTTAAAATTATATTTTAATGGCAACAACTATTGAGATGGCTTCAATAATAAACCTGCAGAAATATGGAGGAGTCACCACTTCCTTTCACAGTGCAATATTGGTAAAATTTAGAAGCAAATAATTTAATTATGACTGGATAGTTATTATTACAGGAATGGTCTTGTAACTTGACTCAGAAAATTTCTATAAGCTCCTCTCTTTCAGAGGTATAACTTACTTCAAAATTATAATTAATCATAAGATAGCTAATAGTGCTTAATAATAGTAAGAACTATGTAAACAAACAACAATGACAAAACTACAAGAAGAAATAATAATCTGCTTGTTTTAGAATTTGGAGACCATGTTTGAATCTTTTATTCAAAATATGATCTTTTATTTTATTATAGTTATTTATTTATTTCCTTATTCCTTTAACTCTATTATATAGATCTTATTTTCTAATAATTTTGCAAAAACAATTAAAACAAAATAGTTGGTGGACTACCCAAAGATGGC